AGAGAATCAAAGGGTTTTTTAAAAATAAAATAAAAAAATTGTACAAATCTTATGAAAATAATTATGAACCTTCTTTTACTTTTTGAATTTTATACTGAAAATTTTCTTTGAAATGACTATTCTCAACATTGGTTAGTGTTTTTGTCACTGTAAATCGGATCAACTTTAATTGGTTAGTAAAATGAGTTGCTAATGATGTTATGACCATTATTTATGTGTAAATCGAGTCAATTTTGATGTAATAATATTTATAAATAAGACATATATACAACGTTTATGAGGTGGATAGATTGCATATATCTACGTGAAATAATTTGCTCATTTGATAAAATTGTATAAGAGTTATAAATATCTCCATAGTTTTCACAAATTATGAAGTTTCATGTTTATAAAAACAAAAAAAATACAATTTGAATATTAAAATTACATATCTAAACAAACTTCAACTTCAAATCAATATTAATTGATTTGAAATCATATTCAAACAAATCCTTAATTAGTTATAGATATAATTTTCTGATACATATGTTATATATATATATATATATATATATTATGCATGATATAATACCAAATAAAATATATACATGTATTGAAAAATTATACCATCAAACAACTTAATAATAATGACGGATAATTTTTTCTCAAAGGACAATGACATTTTGAGCCAAACTTTTAACGGGTGGTTGTGCTGTTTCTCGCATTTTTTTGCATAATAATGAACAAAGATAATGTATACATGCATTATTTCTTTGTCATGCACTCAGTTGTCGTTAAAAGGGGGGGCAAATAAGCAGAGAAATGCTCAATGGCTGAGGAAGAGAAGGAGGAGGAGGTTAGAGCTTTTCTGAACAAATTGAAAACCGTAGATCCTTCCATTTACGTCTACCAAAGAGATGTCGTTCTCGATTCGCACTTGGTTAAATCGAGGATTTTAGATCATTCCGAAGCTCTTAATTACATTGTGTGAAACTAAATTCCGAAACTATAATGGAAGGTAATATACCTTCTTCTTTTTTTAATGTGTGAATGATTTACTTTGGTGAATTAATGTTTTAGCCCTAATTCATGAAATATTATTGTAAGACTTTGCAATGTAGCAATGATAGCGTTTCTTAAATGAAATATGAAGGGCTCCTTTTCAAGGTATGAATGTGGGTAATGCGAAAAACATGAGCCTTGATGATTTGGAAAAGATCACTAATAATTTCAGTGACAAAACTGAGCATGCCACATTGTACCATGGGTTTATGGATGATGGCCAGGAGGTCACTGTCAAAACATGAATTTGAAGGGAAAAAAAACAGTAGTTGTTTTTGCTCTGGCTAACAGTTACTCTGCTGTAAGCTGAATTCGGGTGGCGACTGATTATGCAATGCTCCTGAAAACATTAACTGTGGAAAAGATGGACCTTCTCTGGTCTTCGCCTGATACTATGATTGATGAGGTATCAAATGCATCCACAATTTCGTTCTCTGCAAGTTGTCTGATTACTTTTCTATGCAGGAATATAACATTAAACTGATGAGATATATAACTAATCCCGAGATAAGTAGTCTTGGGATAACTTGTTAGTTAATGACTCTTAGCTTCTTAATAGGCTTCTCTATCATCCATGTTTGCACACTATATATGTTTCATGTTTGTGCATGGATATACGTACGTACTATATACACGTATTTATTTTACTCTATTGGTATTTTGCAGATGATACTGAGATTGCAAAAGCATATGTTTTTGAATTTGGAGTTGTACTTGTGGAGTTGATAATGAAAACAGGGCCGGCTCTATGTATAATTTAATAAGGCATTGGCCTTAGGCCCCCAATTTTAGGGGGCCTCAACTTTTTACAAAGAATAAATTATGTGTTAATTTTTTATAGAAAAAATATTGATTATTTATGATAAAAAGTATATATTTAAAATTATTATTTTATCTTCAACCCCATTCAAATAGAAGAAATCAAGAAAATATTGTTTTATTTTCTTACACTCTCTCTACTAATACTCACATTATTTTCCTTTTTAACTCCTTTTACACTCTCTTCTTTAAATTGTTGATAAGTTAGAGTAATATTCTGTCAAAAATATCAATTAATAGTCGAAAAGTGTTGAATAAATTGAATTGTAAATTCTTTTTCCATTTCTTATTATTAGATTTTCAAGCATTACAACAACCATAGTAAAATGTGGGGTAACTAAATTATCAACTTCATCAAAGCTATGATTCTAACTCTTATATTTATTTGAAATTTGTCAACTTATTACTTGTAGAACTATGTTAACAATTCATATAATGATTGCCCGAGTAAAATAATATTTTTCAATGTTGAATTAATAAAATCTTATTTAAAACTAATAATTGAAAAAGAAATCGAATAAATCATTTATATATAAAAAAAAATATTAAGTAATACTTTGCATTTAAAAATGTAAGAAAAATAAAATTTAAATAAATGCATGTGAAGTTTATTTAGATTTTAGGCCTCTAATTAAGATTTCGCTTTAGGCCTCCGATTACGTTGAGCCGCCCCTGAATGAAAAAGAGGCGCGATTGGGTGCATTATTCTCATTTGGGTTCATATATTAGAGAGAAGAAAGAAGGCTCCGTTCATAAAACATTGGGGGTGGATGCTGATACTGCCGCTGAAATTACAAAACTCATAGCATTATGTGTGCGTATGGCATCTGCAGATATTGACTATGTCATTAGTGAATTGAGAAGGGTAGTTGGGTCTCAATCCCTCTAGTTCATTATTAATGTATAAAATCTCAATTTCTAATCTAAATTGCTTTATTCTAATGCCCATACTAGACACATCTTCAAGTGTGTAAGAACCAAAAGTTTTTTCAGGTATTGCTACTAGATTATTATTATTAAGAGGAAATGATCTCTCGTGGGATTTCATTGGATATGCTGTTGTGTAATCATTTTCAAATTGAATAAAAAAAAATTGCTTCATCCCATTTGAAATTAGAAATAGAGAAAATACATAATTACTCCATCTAACTATAGCACATTTTTTTAAAAAGACACTCAAACTTTACAAGGGTCCTAGTACCTCATTGAACAATTTAAAAGTGATATAAATATCCCATTTTTGGGTCAATCCCACTTATAAGAAAGAAAGTGAATGCACGCATCAATTACTGCTTGCCACATGTTAATTTTATATAATTTTCTATTCTTTGTTTATGTTTATGTTTTTTTTTTTCTTTCTTAGTTTTTAATTAGATATTTTCATTTCCTTCTTCAATTCTGCTTAGCCTCAGCCTTTGGTCTTCTTAGCTGACAATCATTTTCATTTTGTCTATCACCAAATCAAAATTGAAATTGGGAAATCAAATCCACGATCAAATTAATATTTTTTCAAATTAAAATTTCTTTTTGTGATTTTAGCATTGATTTTTGCTCTAAATCAACATGGGTTGTAATTGGAAAAACATAAATTCTCTCTTCAGGCTCAAATGAGATAATTTTTGGTTGGTTTAAATATGATTTCAACCCGTTAATGATCAAAAGTCACTTGAAATACGATTTTTTCTTCGAAATTGCATCATTTTTCCTGCGCTTCTCATCCCCGCCGGCCAAGAAGGAAGAGTAGAAATTTGAGGATGAAATAATAAATCGTTCATCGTCGCTATCGCAAAGGAAATCAGCTAGTTGTCAATGAAACTTTTTGCCCGTGACCGAACTAAAGAGGCATTTTATTGATGGATTGAAACTGTGTTATTCAGTTACAACTGAATCTCTATCAAAATCCAATTTGAATGAAAAACGAAAAGAGAAAGAGAAAGAAAAAAGAAAGAAAAAGAAGAAAAAAAAAACCTTGATGCCATTGTCTCCTTCAATGGACAATGGTGAAGCGTAGGATGGAGAAGAAAGAAAAAAAATATTAACACTCAAATAAAAGATTATTTATATATTTAATAAAAAATATTGCAAAAAAAAGTTTAATCATATTTTTTTTTAGTTTTCACGCTCTACAGGTGAGTGTTATACACTCTCTGTATTAAATTCCAAAAAAGGGTTCAACAATTTCACTTTAAACTAGTTTAAGGGTGTATTAGGACTCACGCAAAGTTTAAATGTCTTTTTCAAAAAAGAGTCATAGTTTAATGGGGTTTCTATGTATTTCCCTCTTAGAAATATAATAAGTTGCCATCTTCGATGTACTAAAAAAATAATAAAGAGATTTTAAACTATTAAAAAAAAAGACAAATAAATTAAAATTGCATATAATTTTAAAACACATGACATGCCGTATGTATTTACTCCCTTTGTCTAATTTTATGGTTATGTTTCAATTTTTCGATGTACATTGTACCCTCTCCGGAATCAATTTCATTTCATTGGGTATGTTGTTTTATTTTAAGAAGATGGATTGATTTCAACAAGGAAAACTTTCTTACTTTAGCTAGCACACAAGGTGTTTGAGTAAATTCCAAAGAGAACTTTTATTTTAGTTTCCTCCCTAAGTCTACCCATTTATGCTTAGAGCCATAGAGTATAGACATAGAGTAATCCGTTATATCAAAGTTTTAAAAAACTTTTTAGGAAAATTGGGGGTAGGTGGGGAATTGAAACCGTAAGGTGAAAGTTTAGGCAGCCAACAAACTAAGTTGCTAAGATTTTCCGAAAAGTTTAAAACTTGAATAGTTCAATTAATCAGAAATCTTGTATAGCAATATAATGATATTACATAGTATTTTAAAATGTTTCAACATACAAGAGTCATAAAAATTAGGACAGTATGATTTTCAGGTTATGTGTTAGCAGCTTAAGTAATTATTTTCCTTTTTGGTTGCATCTTATTTTTAATCAAATGAGTAGAGTTTTATGGATTTTTTGCCATTATTGTGTCTCTTACACATTATAATTCTTTTTGCAGGGGTAGATTGGCTAAATATCAATCTTTTTAAGCTGTTACAGACCAGCTTACTCATTATACCAACACACTATTGTGTCTCTTACACATTATACCAACACACTGTTGTTGGTATTGTAAATGCACCACAATCTTGTTCTTACTCATTATAGTTTCACCATTTATAGCTTATGCCCTCTCGCTTTAGTGCGCAACCCAGTAACCTTCTTCTGTCCCAAATTCAGAAGTTCATACCTAAAAAGTGGACGAGTGTCAGAGAATCAGACAACCGAAAAAACTGTGGCCAAACCTTGCTGTGTAGCTCACATGAATGTATTTCAGGGCCTTGTAAAGAAAGTAATGAATCAATGGTGGATTGCCTACTGACAACTTTGAAGGACTTTGCGGGCCAAGGCCACATATGCAAAGCCTTTAGAACCTTTTCTCTAATTCGGACTCATGTCTCCTCTCAAACCCCTTGTGATCTTGTTATACAGTCATTATCATCTCTTTTATTATGTTGTACTAATAGCAAATCACTCTCTGAAGGGAAACAAATTCATGCATGCATTATTAATTTGGGCATTGCACATAGTTGGAATTTGGTGCCGAGGATAATCACCTTTTATACGACCTTTGGTTTACTTGATGATGCTCATGTAATTGTTGAAACTTCAAATATCTTGCACCCTCTCCCTTGGAATCTCCTTATTTCTTCTTATGTTAAAAAGCGGCAAAACGAGGAGGCATTCTCTGCCTATAGGCAGATGGTGAATAGAGGTATAAGACCCGATGATTTCACTTATCCGTCTGTTCTTAAGGCCTGTGGTGAGCAATTAAATCTTGCTTTTGGCCGTGATATTCACAAGTCTATAGATGCTAGTTTCTTAGAGGGTAACTTGTTTGTCCAGAATGCTTTAGTTTCTATGTATGCAAAGTGTGGGGAAGTGGATGTTGCACATGATATATTTGAAAGGATGCCAGTTAAGGATGCAGTTTCTTGGAATTCAATGATCTCTGGTTATGCTTCCAAAGGTATGTGGAGTAAAGCTTTTGAGATTTTTGATAGAATGAGGGCTACTGATGCTGAATTCGATATTATTACTTGGAACACCATAGCTGGAGGTTGCTTGAAGACAGGTAACTTTATTGGGGCTCTTAAATTGTTATCTCAAATGAGAACTTGTGGAATTCAGCTAGAACCTGTGGCAACACTTATTGGCTTGGGTGCATGTTCCCACACTGGTTTGTTAGAAATTGGAAAACAAATTCATGGTTTAGTGATCCGAAGTCACCTTGATGATTTTGATAATGTAAGAAATGCTTTAATCAATATGTATGCCAGATGCAAGGCACTCAAGCAGGCACATATTTTGTTTCAGTTTGTTGACTCTAAAACTGTAATTACCTGGAATACAATCATATCTGGCTTTGCACATTGGGACAGGTCTGAGGAAACTTCCTTTCTTTTCCGAGAAATGCTGCTTTCTGGTGTTGAGCCGAATTATATCACTATAGCAGGCATTCTCCCCCTGTGTGCTAGGGTGGCAAATTTACAACATGGTAAAGAATTTCATTGCTATCTTACAAGACGTGAAGGGTTTGAGGAATATTTGCTCTTGTGGAATTCACTTGTGGATATGTATGCAAGATCTGGAAAGGTATTAGCAGCCAGAAAGTTATTTAATTTGATGAGCAAGAAAGATGCAGTTACCTACACTTCGATGATAGCAGGACATGGTATTCAAGGTGAAGGAAGAGAAGCAATTGAACTATTTAATGAGATGATAAGGCTCCATATAAAACCAGACCATGTGACCATGGTTGCTGCTTTGTCAGCCTGTAGTCATTCAGGCCTTGTGATGCAGGGCCAGAAACTATTTGAACAGATGCAAAGTACTTATGGTATAAATCCTCATTTGCAGCACTTCTCTTGCATGGTTGACCTCTTTGGTAGGGCTGGTCTACTTAAAAAGGCAAAGGAAATCATTATAAAGATGCCTTTTGAGCCGACACCTGAAATGTGGGCAACTCTCCTTGGAGCATGTAGGATTCATAAGAATACTGAGATAGGAGAGTGGGCAGCCGAGAAACTGCTGGAGTTGAGGCCTGATAAGCCTGGATACTATGTGTTGATTGCTAATATGTATGCAGATGCTGGGTGTTGGAACAAACTGGCAAAAGTGAGGACCGTCATGCGAGATTTTGGTGTAAGAAAGTCTCCAGGATGTGCTTGGGTTGATACTGGTTCTGGCTTTTCTCCCTTTTTGGTTTCAGATACCTCCAGTGGCCAAACAAATGAAATTTATTGTCTACTGGGAGGACTGAATAGGCTAATGAAAGACACTGGTCATTTGACTACAGAGGATTCGTCTTCCGAAGAAGAACTTTGTGAAGGACTTCTTTTGTAGAAAAGAAAGGCGAGACTATGTCCTGTCCTTTGACTGTTTCCATAAGAACTTTGCTCATGTTTCCTGTTGCAAAGTATTTGTCATCGCTCATGCAGAATATGTGCCAGTTTGATCAAACATTCTGACTTTTCTGCCACGGTTGAGGTAAATGACTCTGGCATTAAATGCCTCATTTTATGCATATCAGCAGTTTCTTTTAACCATGTCAGAGAAAAGTTAGCAAATACTTTGGCTTGTGATTCTTGCAATGCCATAGTTGTCTTTTCACTCCCCCTTGTCTGAAGCTCGGATGTTTTTCTTGATATTTTTGACTACTGATGATTTTTTCTTTTTACAGGTTGCAGCCTCGCAGGTTTTGGAGAGTAAGGGAACACTTATAGAATCTATATCAGTCTTCAAGGTAGAGGACACAGACTCCTTAACTGATGAATTAAGTTGTTCAAGTGTTAAAGTCTATTTTCTCATTCATTTTGTAGGCTTGTGATCTCAGTTGGAATGCCCAGGGTTCTTTCCCTTCAGCATATGTTTCATATCGCAAGATAAATCCCTTGGTGCAGACTCATTCTGTTCCAAATATTACGACCGTTCATTTTATACTGATGCATTTTTTTAGGTATGTTCATCCTTTCTTGATTTATTCTCTCAAATCCCTTGGTGCAGACTCATTCTATCCAAATAATCATTTTGATGTGCTCCGTGAAGTATTTATATCAATACTGCCTTTAATAGATCTTGAGACTAGTCACTTTTGTTTTAAGATGAATATAGAATCAAGATTCAACATTAAGTTATAAAATTACTATCACCTTCCGTTGGGTCGAGCCATTTAGTTTTTGTTTGAAGTTGGAACGTCAAGTTTCGTAACTGTTCAGATGAAAAATGCATATTATAGACTGTACTTCAATTATATCATAGTGTTCTATGAGTACAAATAAATAATAGCATTTTAGCGAATGCCTGAATGGTACATCAACTTGCATGTGCCACAGAAATATATACAAAACACTGCAGTGCCAATTCATTGTAGAACTGATAACCCTTTCTGTTTTACTTTGTGAATTTCCGCGTCATTGCTGAAAAAATTGATTGATTTTCATTCTCTTGCCAAAAATGCAGAAGCAAACAATGGACGAAAATCTGGCATTTGAAATGCTGGAAAACAACTTGAAGTTAATCTGAGATCATTGTTTGTCAGATGGTTCTTCAAGCTGACCATGTTTTGCGGCAATGAATATAATGTAGCTATGGAGAAATGGTTTGAAGTCCTGCACGAAGAGATAGAAGGTTAGACTTGCATTACTAAACTGAACCTTGAATCCTGGAAACATTAACGTTAGCCTGAAAACCTCTTTCTAGAAAAGAAAAACTTGTAAAACGAACATATATTATTATTACTCATGTGTGCTCCACACCGTTGAAGGTAGAGTCACCAATGCTTTTAAGAGGCAAAGTCAGGTGATTCATTGGTGAATTTGTTCAGTTTGATGTTGGCCTTAAATGTACCAAAGGTGATTTCTTTTCATCTGGTCCGTTCTTAACACCCGGAAAATTATAAGGATAATTATGCAAAATGTCCGCTCATAGACTTTACTTACCATCTGTCAGATCCACCAAACCAATGTTTTTGGGATTGCTTATTCTAGTAAGTAATACTTACAGACAGATTATGATAAATTGGTGGAAACACAAAACTGCTAATCCTGTCACTAGTTTCATTACTTGACAGCCTCCCTATCATTGCTACTTGGGAAATTTGGAGATCAAGATGTGGGACAAAATACAGTATTGAAAAACCGAATGTTGAGAGATCACTATCTCTAATTGCTAACACATTGTCTCAACTGATTACTAACCAGATCAGTCGGTTGAAACTGAACTCCTCCTGGAATGTTATCACTACTCTGTTAACTAGTGTTATTCAGTACAAAACTTTTAACCATTTTCTTAAGCTTAACTCCGATGGTAGCTGCAGATTTGGCAAATGTAGAGGTGGAGGCATTGTTAGAGATTCCGTGGGACATCTGTTAATGGCTTATTCACTTGTCCTACGCCAAGGCACCAACAACTGAGCAGAAGCTGTTGCAAAATGTTAGTTGACATACAAGATGGTGCACAAAAAGAGGACATACAAGATTGATAGCTGAGAGTGACCTCCAAAATGTTAGTTGATTGTATCAAAGGGACTAATCAAACTCCATGGAGGATGCTTAATGAAGTAAGCAGGATCAAAGATATGCTCAATCAACATCAAATCAACATTCAACAATGCTTTAGAGAAGCTAATCAAGTAGCAGACAGATTACCTTGATGTGAATGTTGAGATACTCTTTTTATCAATTTTATTATATCTTTGAGTCTTTTTAACATGTCATTTTAGGTACAAGATATGGATTCGGTTAAATTTATTTGAATTTTGATGTATATGAATTAAATAAGTTTATAATTTTTAGAAATGAGCTTTAATCACATGATATACCAATGAGAAAATGAATTTAAATATTTTTTTATTTTTGAGAGAAATAATAATAATATTTAAATAATTTCATTATCCTATATAATTAAAATCAATTTCAATAGTCAATTTTCAAAATTTGAGTAGCTTGGAGAGGAAAGAGGTAAAGAAGAAAATTTGGGGAGAACCTAAAATTATTTTAAAATATGACTGTTTACACTAAAAATGGGAGTGTGATTACTTAGAGATGGACATGGTACGGTATTACAAAAATTAAGCTGGTATAATTTTGATATTTGAAAATATTATATATCCTTATTATCAAATTAATTAATTTGGTCTATTTAAGTCAAGTTTCAATAAGTTTGTAGATTATAATATGATAAAATTGGTAATCCTAATTTATTCGACTTCAATTTGTATATATTCTTATAATAGAGAGTTATAACTTCATTTTTCAAGAAACATTTAAATTCAATCATAATAACATATATTTAGGGGTGAATAAAATTGAATCAAATTAAAACATGATTGATTCAAATTGATGTAATTAGACAAATTAAGAAATAGTAAATAACTGTAAATTTAATTATCTACGATTTTAATTATAATTACATCACTAATAAAATATAAAAAAAATATGTGTATCATGATTAGCAAGAGATTACCAACAAACCATTAAGAAAACTTTAGTTAATACTCCCTCTTTTTCTATATATATGTCATTATTTTCAAATGAGAAAAAGAATAAATATATCTCCGAACTATCGTAAATAGTATGCAGATACCCCCTGTCATACTTTTGGGACATTGGTGCCCCTGTCGTCCAAAAATTAGAGCATATTTACCCTTTATACTAACGGACATACACGTGTCATAATCTTATCCACCGACCGACAATTATTAAATATTGAATCGATGGATAAGATTGCACCACGTGTCCCTATTTAGTCTTATGTTAGAGTGAAGGGCACCTATGCTCTAGTTTTTGGACGGCAGGGGCACCAATGTCCCAAAAGTATGACGGAGAGTATCTGCATACCATTTACGATAGTTCGGGGGTATATTTGTCCTTTTTCCCTTTCAAATTTCACATTCCTTGAGAAAAAACTTTCGAGCCCAAGCCCCTTGTATAGGTTGGGCGCTTGAGCGCATCTTTCTCATATTCACTTTGTTGTTTTCTCTAAATGTAGAGAGCCAGGGGTGGAACCAGAAATCAGTGCTAGCTTCATTTCCAATCCGCCATTTTTAGCCCTTAAGTATTGGTGGGAAATTAAGTAAGTTTACCATTATACATTTTTTTAATATTCTTTTGAAGTCAAGTTTTTAATAAAGAAACATAAATTAATTTATTTTGGTTACTCAAATTAACCAATGAACATGAATTAATCATTTAGTTTTACTATATTGGTCAAATTACCACTTTCAACGTTTATAACTCTCGAGGAAGAGATAAAATAGGAAGAAAAGGATTATTTATATATTGATTTTGTTATTTGTTTTTAATAAGAACAGCATATAAATAGAAGAGAGTGAGAGTACTAACAATAAATACATGATTTTTTTATATTCTGCTCATTGTTTCTTCAAGTGCTAATACGGTGCTTCTCTTTTTAGGTATGGATCTTCTTCATCTTTTGTCTGTTCAGTGCTTATGGTTCTTCGTTTAATCTTTGCCGCTTACTCGAATTTATTTGTTTTTTGTGCGTGTATATATATATATATATTTGTATTTGAGCGAACTGAATTTGGGGTTCTTTGGAGGATTTGTAATTTTGATGATTTTAGGGTTGAGCCGCCCTTGGAAGTGAGTGTTGGGCTGTTAAAGTATAGACATATTCACAAAGATGAGTTGTTGCTAGGTGACTAAGCTAAGCTAAGATAAGATGGATATAGGGTTATACAAGATTAGAAATGAACACAGCAACATACAATGAGGATAGAATGGGATAATGTAAGGCTTGGTCATGTATTGCATAGGCTCTAGATGCACTAGCCTATAAGGAAAAGAACAATAATGAGTGTTAAAAGGAGACGAGGTTGATACTTACCATTTCACAAAAGAAGAGGGGACGCCGTAGAATCACAATCATATGAAAAGAAGTTGTATTGAAAGACTTACAATAGGGCACTGTGGAGTGTGGAAGAAAACAATTTATAAAAGTGATACCTATTAGTAGTTGGGAGTCTTGGGACGAAATTCTAGTCAGCCGTTTACTTTAGTTGTTCATTTAATCCTATATGAGATTATATGCTAATACAAATACAAAAACTTTTAATACTTAAGTATTATTTTGGTTTTTTGTATAATATGCATCTATGATGAGATTTAATGGAGCAACACACTCAATGAGGACTCATATAGTAACCCCATCTTTTTGGGGATTGAGGTCTATTGGTTGTTGTAAGATACTAAGATCCGTATTTTTATTAACGAAAACGAGATGTCTTTGTTTAAGGGTATTTTTAGCATTTCAGAGTTCTTTTGTATTGCTAATTCATGTATTGTTATTTCACATTCGATCTGACAAAAATAAGATGATTTTCATTAAAGTTATACAATGTATTGTTTATGTAGGACAAAAATGGTAACCAATTGCTATATTAGTGATATCAAGCATTGTATTAAATAGGTAGAGTTTTATGCATTGTTATCTTTTCTATGCCAGAAACCAAACAGCCTGTCATTGTCTATCTTAAAGATGCTTCAGTGCTGGTTCTTTCTGACTTTGTCATTCCAGGTTAGTTGAAATGATATCCAGCTTGAAGCGTTTCCCGCATTTCTGGTGTTTGGGAGCTCAAAGGCGTCTCTATGTCTGGAGGAGTTCTGTTCACTATGTTTCTGATGATTTGTTGTGCAATAGATTTTGTACTATGACTGAGACAATTAACATTAATCAGCAGCCAAAGGTGACCGAGTCACCAGAACTTCCAGATTGGGTTAAAATTGTTAAGGAGGAGGAAGCAGCAGTTAAACTGGAAGATGATGATTTCTTACTTCCCTCATTCTCAGAATGGGTTAAAAATGAAAAGCTTCGTGCAAGAGAAATTGATGTGAGAAGTTTGGCAAGTGATTTGACGGAAAACGATGTTGATAAGATCAGCAAAGTACTGAGGTTTAATTTCAAATCACCCGATGCTGTTGTGGATGAATTGAATAAAAGCAGATTTGTTGTTTCAGAGTGTTTGGTTGAGCAAATTTTGAAAAGGTTCAGTTTCGAGTGGATACCTTCTTACGGGTTTTTTAAATGGGCAAAAGTGCAAAAGGATGTCACACTTTCCTCTGACTTGTATAATCTAATGGTTGACAACTTAGGAAAATCGAAGAAGTTTGGTCTTATGATGGAATTGTTGGATGAAATGAGTCACTTACAAGGATATGTTTCATTGAATACTATGAGTAAAATCATGAGAAGGTATGCCAAGTCTGGTAAATGTGAGGATGCCATAGGGGCATTTGAAAGAATGGAAGAATTCGGATTACAGAAGGATACAAGTGCGATGAATCTGTTAATCGATGCATTGGTGAAGGGAGGAAGTGTCGAGCATGCTCATAAGGTCTACCTTGATTTGAAGAATCATATAGCTCCATCAGTTCAAACATATAATATCTTAGTGCATGGTTGGTGCAGAGGAGCTAGAAAAATTGATAAAGCAAATGAAACAGTTAAAGATATGGAAGAACATGGTTTAAGCCCTGATGTGGTTACTTATACTTGCTTCATTGAAGCCTATTGTCGTGAAAAAAAGTTCCCTAACGTTGATGCTATTTTCAAAGAGATGCAAATGAAGGGGCACTCACCAAGTGTGGTGACATATACTATAACTATGAAAGCTTTAGGGCAGGCAAAGGAATTGAACAAAGCCTTGGATGTATATGAGAAGATGAAACAAAATGGTTGTGTTCCTGATAATTCGTTTTATAGCAGCTTGATCCATATATTAGGAACAAGTGGGAGACTGAAGGATTGTTACGATATATTTGAAGATATGCCAAATCGAGGAGTCTCACCTGATACGTTCACATATAACACAATGATTACAATTGCTGCACACAACTCTAAAGAAGAGGATGCTTTAAAATTTCTCCAGAAAATGGAGGAGAGTCAATGCAAGCCTGATATTTGTACTTACGCACCATTATTTAAAATGTGCTGCAGAATGAGAAGACTGAAGGTTCTATCCTTCTTATTGAACCACATGTTCAAAAATGACGTGAGCATGGATCTTGGAACATATGCTCTTCTGGTCCGCGGTCTTTGTAGGAACAGGAATCCTGAGCGTGCTTGTGCTGTTTTTGAGCTAGCAGTGCTACGAGGGTTCCTCCCTACAGACACCATGTATGATAATCTCGTCAAAGAACTCGAGAAAAGGGGTTTAAAGGAAGAAAAGAAATATGTAGAAGAACTGATGTCACAAGCTAAGCAGCAAGCATCAGACATTTCATCCGAGAAACCTAAAGATATTAAAGAATAGATCTTTTCTTGTTTGTAAGGGAAAAATGTTGTACAATTCTTTTCGTTCTTTTAGTGACATCTATGGAGCTAGCAAGATTTGGTTGACAACATGTTGATTTTTGTTCTCTTTATTTTTCTGCTCATGTTACTGAAGTTCTAACCCAAAGGTTCTTTGCTTAAAAGAAGATTGGACAAAAATCGTCACAAAATGAAAGATGTATCTTATTGTATTTAAAGGAAAATAAATACAAAAGAATACTGTGTGTAATCTGTTGGAGAACATATATTTGAGCATAATGTACAGAGAACAACACATTCAATTTCCTCAACCTAAGAAAGAAAACTACAAATGCATTCCCTGGAAACCAGCTTGACCAGAATCAGTGTTGAACATGGGGTGTGTATTTCGTGATTCAGAAGCTTCCATCTTGTTACAGACATTTGAATGGTAACACGAAGAGTTAAACTTCTGTCTAATTTCTTGGCTTTCATCTCGAGCCACCTTGTTACAAACATATTTGAATAGTAACACGAAGAGTTAAAACTTCTGTCTTGTTTCTTGGGAGATCAGTGAAATCAATCTACTTTTTTGAGTTAATCTTTTTGTCCTTGGCCTTTGCCATCCTTGTCCTTCTAGGAACTCCTCTATTAACCTGAAAATGAACGATTAAAGAGCATTAGATATCAGAGTAAGGACTTATTAAAACAGAAAAAGCCTACTAACTATACGCACATGCTGCAAATAGCCTTCTGTGAGGAAGCCAGCTCGCGATCTGGAAAGCTCTCCTCCAAGCGATAACTCAACCAAACATACAGATCCAAAACCTTCCAGTTATGACAAACAGTGAATTTCATTTATTTTTTTAAATAGCTAACAAAGGTATATTCTATTTGAAATGTTATCCAGGGAACACCCAAACAGAAAACATCAGCAGATAAGAATGAACACATTTAGCAACCATCTTGATATGCATTGTCGCCACCAAGTAATATTAGTTACAGCAGTCTAAATGTACACATCGGAAAAACAAGTTTGCACCAAGATAATATCAATGTTAGAGCAGTAACAGGAGGCAAGTGATTTTTAAATTAACAGGCAGACTGTCATACTCCCAACTTCTGTTTCAACTTCCAATTTTTACAACTTTTTTACTCATTGGATAGATTAGAGCAAGAAATGGTACATGTGAACAAAAAATCTGGTCAAATTCCATCTAACAGAAGATATAAGAAGCTTGTCTACATGAAGTTCTCAAGGAGTTACGGAAGAAAATGAAATTTCGACATACCCCAATAGAGTTAACAACATACTCTGAGAATAATTAATAATCATAGAGTGAATATCCCCCCAACCCCCCACCCACCCCAAATTTTAAGAATGAGGACCTCTCATGCTCGTGGAAATTCATGGCCTACAATAACTATGCACAAAAACTAGAAAACTTTCATAAAATGGAAGAAGATGCTGAGATGAAGTTCCAAGAATTCCGACTCTACTCTTGCACAAAACGAGACTCTTTTACAGTTGAGCACAATAAATATGAGTCAATCCATCAACTTAACCTCAACCCCTAGTCCCTAGGCTACTTAGGGTCTTAACCTCAATCCCTAGTCCCTAAGGCTACTTAGGGTCGGCTACGTGAATCCTCCATATCCATTAGACTTTATCGAGGCCCATTTCATCAAGTGTAAGCAGTTTGTCTTTTGAAGCAAATTCAGGTTTCACAAGGATCACCATAAGTGCAATTATTGTGATCACTAAGGTAAGCCACCAAAATGCTTTCATAAACATAAAACATCATATGTTACAGAGGATATGAATTCAGAAATCATTCTGAACACTTGTAAACAATCACTCTTAGGGTTTGGAAATTAAGAGATCCAGCTATGGTTTTTATTAAAAGGACTGCTCCTTTGACTATAGGTTCTTCACCTTCCCGGCTTCCCCTGGTGAACTGCTTAACAGGTGTGGACAAAGTGTGATATAACAAAATACGACATGCTAACCTTGTGAATTGATTCAAGCTCCTTAAGTGCAGTATGAGATGTTGGCACCTTAAGTGTCCCGGGAGTAAATATTTCTCGCAGTCGTACCAGGCCATTGTTAGAATAATTTGTTGCAAACTGATGCATCAAAGCAGTGATCATTAAAGTACTCATTCAAAACAGCCATCCTTGAAATGCTTAAGGTAAAAATCATCTTACTTGAGTAAGGCCTTGAGATGAAATGTCATCATCCATTTCAACCGGACTGCATATGACAAACAGAAATGAGTCAATGCCAGAATCCCCCTTTCCCCCCCCTAAATTATGGATTTGCACACGTGCCTAGAATATTCCTTGTTACTATTGCCAAGCTACAGAAAAGTACAATAAATGTCACAGGTTTCACTTATTTTCTCTGTAAGAGCAAAAGATGTTACCTTATACAGAAAAGATATTTATCGTGCAAACTGAGGGGTAGTGTATCAATAATAGCAGCAACTTTCTATTCCCGCAGGTACAGTACAATCAACCAAAAAAAAAAAAGATTAATAATCCAACATGGAAAAATAAAAATGAAGAACTGCAAGGACAGAATATAATGTAGAAATTAGACAGTTCGCTACAAGGAGGAAAGAAAACAAATTAAACAAGAATACCATACCAACAATTCATCACAATTAGCAATGAAATAATGTTCTGATAACTTGGCATTGTCCATAAAATGCTCCTATAAGGATAAAAGTAGAGAAGTTATGAGCACTCTTCGTGCAATCTCGCAGAAAGCAAAAAAAGAACAAACCACTGTGTAACAGTTTCAGTAGCAAAATCCATTGTATTACATTTATTAACATTTTATTTTTTCCTTCCCAAATTTCTAATAGCGACATATAATGAAGCCAGAAACACACATGATAGAGGTCCTTTGCAAGTTATAAGTAGATGATTATTGTAAAACTAGACTATGAGAATCTGAGCCAGTAACTCACCAGTATCTCATGTATTCCATGCTTTGGATGTAGACGAGAATACATGTATAAAAGGTCAAAGTTTGGAAAGACGCCAGCTCGCTGCATTGTAAAGTTATTGCTCTTGATTAGAACATCCCACTAAAATTGAAAGCACTCTAAGGAATTGCTTGTAGGGAGACTGCCTCTACAATAAAACGACAACAAATGCAACGATGTTATTCCAGAATTTAGGATGGCACTAATTCAGCCGTAAGTCAATCACCTCAAGTACAGGAGATGGATAATCCAATGAGGAATGAAGTAATGGCAGATCATCTGCATTTAAGCAAGTTACTTCACCAACAGGAAAATTGGATTTGTACCTTCCTGCTCGTCCTACAAGACAGTTTAATCACCAAAATAATCATTTCACGGAATATTAATACTTTTTATGCATAAGTTCTGGATGACGTTCACATAGCTCCTGAAAATATGTCGAAGTGTCCAAATTTAGATTTGAAGCTCACTCGGTTCAAAAAATGGTAGTAAAGCTGCTAAAACGGCTATTCAAAAAGTTCAGAATCCAAGAAACCAAGGAACAATTTTTTGGGAACTCTTTCCGAACAGATATTTCCATAAGTAATCGGACGTTGGAATGGAGTGAATCTGAAAAAACAAAATTAAGAAAATTTCCATTTGGATAATATATTTTCTCATGACACAATATTGATCTGTTCCAAAACTGAAGTGTATAGAGAGGGGAGGTTAGCTATTGCTAACCCAGTACAAGAAAATAAGGGTGGCTGATGGCTTCGGATCCCATGAGAATACTTCGCTGAAGCCTCAGGTATCAGCCACAGCTTACACTCATTCAGTAATTCTACCCCTTCTTCATTCTTAAACTTTTCAAGTGAGTAGCTTTTGAGGAAAGATTTCTACTCAATACTTAAGTGAGTAGTTACTGTTCCTTTTTCAGAATGCTTTGTCATGCCATTTTTAGTATTTTGCCTTGGTTTCTTCACTCCTGTAATTTTCTTGGCCGAGGGTCTACCGGAAACAGCCTCTCTACCTCCCAAGGTAGGAGTAAGGTATGCGTACACACTAACCCTCCCCACACCCTCACTTGTAGGATTAAACTGGGTATGTTGTTGTAATTTTGACCAAAGAATATGTAAAACAATTCTGGAAATGGAGTTCTTGTAATAGACTTCCATAGAACACTCTACCAGATGTCATAAACCTATACATAATCTTAGGTAAGGAGGAGAGTAAAGAGGAGAAAGAAGAGGTCTTCATATAACAAAATAACTGTACAGGAAAAGATACACAGATGAAATAAAATCTCTGAATACTTTGTCCAGGGGTCTCTATCATGATTCAATATAAAGCATTTTACTACATTACAATGATTCAAAATCTTCAGATGGAAAATGAGCCTCCCCGCCCAACACCCATGCTCTTTGTTTTTCATTTATGTAATTGTTCTTTACTTTATTCAGTAAATGGCCATTCATATAAATTATCTCCTGTAGTATACACATTACAAGGAAGGAGGTTAAGATGCGTCTTATTACAACATTAAGTGTTGATTTAAAAATGTATCTCCCATAATTATACTCCCTCCGTCCCATTTTATATGAGTTAGTTTGACTCGGCACGGAGTTTAAGAAAGAAAGAAAGACCTTTGAAACTTGTGGTCTAAAATAAGTGATAGATATTTGTGTGGCTATAAATCATTTCATTAAGGGTAAAATAGATAATTAAAATTAAATTGTTACTTAATATAGAAATTTGTCATTCTTTTTGGGACTGACTAAAAAGGAAAATAAGTCATATAAACTGGGACAGAGGGAGTATTAAAGGAAGGAGGTTAATTGTGTCTAATCACAATATTAAGCTCTTTACAGTTCACGTATAACAGAATCGCTGCTTTCGTTTTTTATGAAGAAAGAGCATATCGAATACTACTAAACCATTTTCAACCACCTACAATATTAAAAGGAAAGCTATGATGCTGAATTCCTGAAAAGATAAGTACTCAATCAGATCTGACCCTCTGTACCAAGTTGCTCTCCAGTAAAATAACATACCTGCTATCTGCTTT